AGCTGATAAAAGCCACACCATAGACAGGAACCTCGCCGTGCACTGAGCCAGTCCGAGTTTAGTCTCTCATGGTACCTTCTATATACACACACACCAAGGAAGGTCTCTCATACTCACTCATTCTCACAAGAAACATCAGGATCCTCAGAAGCAATACTGAATTTCTGCAGGTGTTAGATGTCATCAATTAATTTTCATAACTAAATCATCCTAACTCCACAACTAGAAAGCTAGAAGAAACAAAAAATAAAAACAAACAAACAAAAACCTCAATACTAACTACAATAACTGACTGGGTGACCTTCCATAGTATGCTCCCACCTGTATCTGCAAGATGACCATCCTCCAAACTTCCTGGGGGCTCGACACTTACTCTATTAACTGGACTCTCCCCAGTTTTAGTAGGAGGCTCCCAGTCAACTCAATCTTTCTCATTCATGAGAGCAAGTATTTCCTATGTAACAAACTGAATACCACACTTCCCCCCAGTTCTGACAACCCAAGTGTATCCAACTCCAACATTCTAATCACTGAAGAGTCATTCCCAACCCATTTAATTGCAATGGTGTCTACTCTTGTAAGCCAGATTGTCCTGGACCCTGTGACTGTCCTAAGTAAGACTCCCAAGTGTTGGGATTATAGACATCACACGGCTTAATTTTACATAAGAAAAGCAAATAAGGGGGGGATTCCTCTTTTCAGGAGAATTTTCTAGAACATGCTTCAAAACAAAACAGTGTGGCTGAGGTCTGAGGACACGCTTATGGGAAAAACATGCTTTAGCACATTTAAAGCTCTAGGCCTGACCCCTGAGAACACAGAAAATTAAATTGTACCTGTTGTAAGCATTGTAGCTCAGATGAAAAAGTATCCTGGCAGTCTAGCCAAAGAATACCACAGTCACACCACACAACAAATCTCATACAAGAGATTTACTGAGAGGGAAAAAAACCAGGAGAGTGACTGACTCTGCTCAGGCTGAGAAACAGCAGGACACTGAACAGAAGGCAGAGTTTATATGGAGTTTCTTGAGGGCGGGGTGGAACTTTTCAGGGTGCAGTTTTCCAGGGTGGGCTTGGTCCAGCTGTGAGGGCACTGAGTGTTCTATGCGTAGAACCTGGCAGCTGGAGGTCCTCAGCAGAGACCTGGCCACTGCTGTGCCTGGAGGGTTTACACCTGGAGGTAAGCTGGCTGCCACCCATCTACATCCCCCTGCCCTATAGCACTTAGGTTACCTGTGGGTGCTGGGACCCAAAGTCAAATCATCATGTATGGTAGTCTGAATGAAAGCTCGTACATTTGAATATTTGTTCCAGCTGGCAAACTGTTTGGGAGGTGTGGCCTTATTAGAAGAGCTGTGTCATGGGGGTAGGGGTGGGGTTTGAACCCTGCAATTCCCAGCTAGCTCCTTCTTGAGAGGTTCTAGCAGGGGAGCGCAGCTTCTCGTATACCCTTGACCCTCCTCTATTCAGGGAAGGTCATCCTCTTTGACCACACTCGCAGCTATGGGAGGGACACACATGGAGCTGCGAGAGAGGAAGGGGACACCCGCCTAGCCAGCCTGATCAGCCAAATCAACGGGTGACAGATGTCGCAGCCAGATCGCCCTCACATCCGCTAGCTCTTTCTCTAAGTTCTCAGCTACTACTCCAGCACCATGCCTGCTTCTGCCTCCCCGCCATGATGACCCTGGACCAACCTCTACAACTGTAAGCCCCAGTAAACTCTTCTAGAAGTTGCCTTGTTGATGGCATTTTACCACAGCAATAGGACAGTGACTAAGATACCATGCCTGCACAGCAAGCTTTCTTTCCCACTGGGCCCACTTCTCCAGGTCCAAGTACTTAAGGATATATACGACTTCATTGGCAAAAGCTAGAATCCAACTCATGGCCTTGTGAATATCAGACCATTAAATGTTCAACCAACATTAAGGAAATGAAAGACGGTACATGTGGCAGTTAATCCTGAATGCCAATTTGACAGCTTGAGTGGAGCCCGGGAGAACGTAGAGCACACTTCTGGGTGTCTCTGGAGCTCTGAAACCACCACATCACGAAGTTTCTGACCAATCAACTTGAAGCCACTGTTAGACTAATTCTGAGTAGACTGTGGGAAGCAGTGAAACGGGAATGTGGGGACTAGTTGGAAGATGTGGTCACTGTGCCTTTGAAGGTCTACATTGGCCCAGTCCCTTCTAACTGTTCTTGCTTCCCGGCTGCCAAGAGGCGAATGGCTCTCTTCTGTGACCTTGCTCCGTGATGTCTCCATCTTCCTGGAAAAGCAGTGGAGCCAGCTGACCAGAAACTCCTATCTCTGGAAACGTATTGCCAAGTAAATCTTTAATTCCTAAGCTGCTTGCTCAGGTACAGTGCCACAGCAACATAACTGCACACTCACCACTCTGTTATTTTTATATCTCTATCAGTTCGCTTACATTACAAAAGCTTATAAGCTTATACACTTATAAACATGGGCAAAAATAAGGAAATCTAAAAGCTTAACATTTCTTGAAACTTAATAAAACAGACCTATATAAACATGCTTGACATTAAAACCAGAGCAGCACTGTTTATACATTATTATTTATTATTGTATAAACCAACCCTATTCAAGGGTAGAATTCTACTACTCAGCTGCATCTGTTCTTAGCTCATCCCCAATACTTGCTCCTATTTGTTGGTTTGGGTGATAGAAACAATGCTTCAGCACCCAGCTTTATACAAATGCTTTTGTGTCCTTGTATAAACACTATCAGGTTATAGGGCTGGGATGACGGCTGGGTCGGTACAGTGCTTATCACCCAAACATGAAGACTGACTCCAGATTGTGTGCACCCATGGAAGGGCTGGGAGAAGATGAGAGGTGGAAAACACACCCAGATCCCTGGAGCTTACTGGTCCCGCCAGCCTACCCAGACCAGCGAGGAACAGGTTATAGATAAGACACCCTGTCACAAAAAAGACCAGAGAACGACTGAGAAAAATAATGAAAGCCAACCTCCGTCCTCCACACAGCCCACACATGTGAACACACCTACACACATACGAACATGCACACAATGCACACACATACAATGTTTAAAAAGTAAATTATTTATTTTCCAATACCTAGGTTATATGAGAATTTTGATTTTTTTAGCATAATTTATTTGTATATTGTCTTAGCCAAGAGGCTAAGATTCAAGATCCACCACCCTTCCATGCAGATGGCAGATGCAGTTAGAGCAAAGCTAAGTAAGAAACAAAGACAGGCAGACAGAGGGGCTCAGACAGCAGCACAAGCCCGGGACATAACTCCATCACTGAGAATAGGGCTGTCCTCTGATCGTCACAGTGCTGTGGCGCACTGTGCATGCACACCCCCACCCCGAATCAAGTGCCCAGCACTATGCACTTCAGGTGAGAGCCGGAAACTTAACTCAAATACTAAAGGAATTAGTATAAACACCTAGATTTGGAAGACTCGATTTTATAAGGTGTCAACTCTTCCCAAAGTGACTTAAAGTCCAGGTAATAATGAAAATCCCAACAGGCTTAGGCTGGACAATAACCTGCCATGTTGACATTTGAGTTGTATGGACATTTGAAGGGTTAACTGTAGCCGGGGCACTCTTAAGGAGAGAAGGAAGAACAGCTATATTATCAGGTATGACAAGATCATGGAATTTATTTAGAAAAACCAACACAACAGAGGTCCAACACAGATCCATGACACAGGTGGTCAAACAAACCAGATTTTTAAAAAATCATTTTCCAAAGATGCTAAGACAAAGAACTAGTTGTTTGGACTCAAACAGAAGCAAGCCAATTCCCACATTGTCGGCAGAAATCAACTCAAGGGTAATGAATATAAATATCCATACAAATTACTTCACGTTCAAAACTAAACGTATCAGATAACCCCAACAGAATGTAGCTTAAGGTCAAGGATCTTATTGTTTTTATATAATTCACTATAAAGCAATTGACTGCAAACTTATAGATAAGAAGTGATACTAACAAAATCTAAATTGGGAAAAAACAGTTTCTGAGGGTGAGTGAGCATGTTGGTGCATGCATTTAGGCAGCAGAGGCAGGTGGATTTTTGTGAGTTTAAGGCCAGCCTTGTCTACATAGCAAATTTTCGGCCAGTCAGCACTAAACAGTGAGACCTTGTCACAATAAAATAAAATAACTGAAATAATTTATGGGAGTAGAAACTCCACCTATATCTCAAATTCTTAAAACCATTTTTTCTGGTTCGGTCTGCTAAAAATGCTCAATAACCATGAAAATCTTGTAGTAAGTCCTGTTCCAAGCATTCAAATTGGTCTCCGAGTACTAATCCCCAAGTAAATGAAGACGAAGTGAAAGGAAACGCCTTGAAAACAACCAATTCCATTCCTTGGGCACAAAAGATAACTCGTGTGACATCTGAAAGTACCACACCGCCCTGACACCATCGAGAGGAGCTCCACAGTACCCAGAATAACATCAAACCCAGCTCTGAGCCTACCTAATTCTTAGACGCAAGGACATGTTAGAAAACTGGGAGACAGAATTCAGAGTATGATAACATCTGCACAACATGTGGCTCAGTTTCCCCAACACATAAATGAAGATATTCAAGGATAAACCGTCAGGACATTCTAAGGTGCTGAGAGACTGGTTAACTTTGTTGTGAAGGATAGCAGTCCTGATAACTAAAGATTCATATGCAAGTGTTTAATATTGAAATGATGTGAAATACCCCAGACTCATTAGCAATCTACTTAGTAATTAAAAACAAAACAAGTAGGTAAGTGGACAGGTGAATGGACACAACTTCCCAGAGTAGGGAGTGTTTTAGGTGAATTAAAATATCCAAATAAGATGAGTGAAAACAGTAGGGAATGTAGGGAGTATAGAATAGACTCATGTTCTCAAGGGTATTCAGGATTTGCGACACAAAATTCAAAATCACCAAAACAAACTGTCAAATCACACAGCTTCAAACATTGACTCTTTCAAGGCACTTACTGCTGGCAGGAGGGACTGCATATTCTGATTAGAATCTGCTATTGTAGCAAGGTATACCAGGTTCGTATGCAACATCTGCTGATACCTATTGAAACAAAAAAAAAAAAAAAAAATACAATATTAGAAAAAAATCTTCCTATCTGTTAAATACAAGCAGCATTATAACTATTTTTAGAGCTTAATGAAAGATGTGTTATCTGAACTCATTAGCACTTCAACCTTTCCTATTTCCTCTGCAAAGTAATTCCAAATGACACATAATACACATTAAGGTAATGGGGAACAGAGTAATCTCACCATGAGCTAGAGACGATCCAGTTACGGTCTACGGGCACATACCTCATTTAATATGTAAACCAGTACTATGAGGTAGCAGCTCTTACTCTCTCCTTACCACTGAGGAATCATGGTCTAGATAGAGACCTCTGAGTTGCATGATTCCAAGACTAGTCAAAAGAATAACTGACATCCAGCATCAGACATACAGTGTATTTATTGGGTTTTACAGGAACTAAAATAAAGAAGTTCAATGAAATATGCTTACCACTGCACCCCACCCCACCTTCCTTCTGCTTTTGCCCTGGTTGGTTGTTTTGAGACAGGGTCTCACTACATACCCCTGGCTGGCCTGGAACTCACTCTGTAGACCAGACAGGCCTCAAACTCACAGAGATCCACCTGCCTCTGCATCCCAACTGCAGACATGAACAAAATGATAGCACACTAAAAGTATTAGCAAGTCACTTTAAAACAATAAAACAAATTTTTAATACTTGGGTAAATATAACTGGGATATGGCTTTTGGTAATACCGCTTAATAATTTGCTAAAGTCACTTTATAATTTTTAAAGTTAACTCATATAAAACAAAAAACTGGCAGGAATCTAATCACTGTCTGGGCTCAGTACATGACTAGAGCAAGCCCCACACATACAAATTTAAAACGTACAGCAAAATGTCCAGAGAGCAGACACAGTGACATAGGCCAGTGACCCAGCACCTGAGAAGATGGCAGAAACATGGGCTAGGCTAGGGTTATAGCAAGGCCGGGCCTCAAAAACCAAAACTCATTTATTATAGATACTAGCTATAAATTAAAAATGAATGTGTCAAAAGAATTTTATTCAACTAAATGAGGTATCCTAATTCAGACTCAAACTGAAGTACTTCCCTAACCTTGTCATAAACCAATCTCCCTTTTCTAATGGGAAAGAAAGGCCTGGTTCTTCCTGATCCACAAGCTCCCATGCCGAGAAGCCTGCACTTCCAGATCCCCTCCTCACATATGCCTAATCTGACCGGAGATGTATTTTTATAAGGGTCCTTGGGTTTTAAACAAAGGCCATCTGTAGTCTATAGATCAGGTTGGCCTCAAACTTAGAGATCTGCTGAAATTCTGGCCTCTGCCTTCTGAGCATGCCACACACCCAGCCCTCAAAACTTTGTTCATTTTTATTCGTGGTGGTGGGAGCAGTATGAGGGCCTTGAGTTGCAACCAGAGTTGCTTCTCGCCTTCCACCATGTGGGTCCAGGGGAATCAGACTAAAGCCAGGCTTGGTGATGGCAAGTACTTTCACCGCCTGAGCAAGCTAGCAGGCCCAAGCAAGCCACTTGTAGTTGAGACACACTGATTTCAAAGACTACATCTTAAAATCCTCCTTTTCTTCTGGAGTTTTAGCATGTTGGTATGATCCCCAGTGCTTTCTAGGAACACCAACTACACCACGGCAAATAAAAATGCCCAAGCTGAAGACTGTGCCTACACAAGACCATAGCAAAGCTTGATGATTATTATGCTGATTAGCCCCAGCCAGCCTTGGAAGGACACTAAGTGTCCCAGGCTTCATTTGATTGTCTAACAGGAGTGACAGCAGACCTTTAAAGCCACTTGTACCTGTGTCTATACACACAACACAGCTCAGGTAATTTCAGATACCTGCTCGCCACATCAAATCTAACTTTTAATTAATTTTAAATGACTTTAAGTTTTCAGAAGTTTCAGGAATGGGGGGGTCAGCTTTTACATCTCTCTTCCAGATGCTACTTTATAGCATTTGTCCTATCATTGACTCTTGTCTATGCACACATATTTTTGCTATAACCATTTAACAGTCAGTTGCAAACATGATACTTCATTATCAATACCCCCAAACAAGACAGTGCATCTGCCTACAAATCCTTTCCCTAACACAAGAAGGTGGGTAAAAACAAGTCCTTTTTGTTGCTTTGTTTTTGTTTTTTGAGACAGGGTCTCCATTTTATAGACCAGGCTGGCCCCAGTACTGACTATATGAATCAGACTAGGCTTTAACTCAGCAATCTTTTCCTATTTTGGGGACAGAGCTGTGTCTGGATCCGTAATCCGCTCGCCTATAGTTGAGACTATAGGCAGACAGCAATCAACCAGGGTAAAGGGAACCCTGAGTAAAATTGCAATAAGAAAAAATAAGTAATGTTCATCAAAAAGCTTACGCTAAGACCAAACAAGTATTAAAAAAATTATTAACAAATACTTGCTTATTTCTACTATTTCTGCATCTCTTCTGAGTTTGGATGTAAGTCACCTAAAATGAAATTTAAAAAAGAAACAACAAAAAACCCCACAGAATCTGAACTCAGCTCAGACTACAGAATGAAAGTAAGAACATTTTCCTGAGAACTTTCATTTTCTAGTAAGTCTGAGCTCGTCTCTACACTAGTCAACAGTGGAGTGGTTCACCCAGCTCCCACAGTTCCCTGCCAAGCAGGACCATGCCACTTCAGCCGATGCAATGCGCTCTGTGATCTTTACACGATGACAAAACGGGCTAACACTGCCTTTTATTGGTATCCCTATCTTTAAATGCAACCAAACCTTGTTAACACAAGAAAGCTGAATATATACACTAATGGGAGATTACCAAGCACATTCAACATCTGTTTGTTCGGTTTGGGGTTTGTGGAGACATGGTTTCTCTGTAGCTTTGGAGCCTGTCCTGGCCCTTGCTCTGTAGGTGCGGCTCAGCCTCCCGAGGGCTGGGATCAAAGGATTGAGCCACCACTGCCCAGCCAAATTCAGCATCTTAACTATGACAACCGTAACTGGTGAAAGCTAGCCGAAGACACAAGACCCATCAAAATCTTATGTTTGATGACTAACCGGTCCTAACAAGTCCTGACAGATACTTACAAACGTTTATGGTCACAAAAAGACTCCACTAAAATCACCACACATAAAATAGCAGGCTTAAGTTTATTAATTAAAAATTAGTATGAGCCAGGCAGTGGTGGCTCACGCCTTTAATCCCAGCACTATAGGTCAACCTGGTCTACAGAGTGACTTCTAGCACAGCCAGAGTTGTTACACAGAGAAACCCTGTCTCAAAAAGAAAAATAATCTGAGAAGCTTAGATTTAATTTAAAAATAACTTTAACACAGAACACTTACTGAATGGTACTATAGTTTATAGAATAAAAGTTACCTTGGCAAACAGTAACAAACTAAAATTCCATTAAATGATGACAAATACTAATTTTTGACATTAAAACTTATGAAACACCGAAATAGTTGTATCCATCCTAAAACACCAAAAGGAGACTGCTAATTAAAGCAAACTCTGGACCGATTCGGATAACATTCACACCACATAGAAGGAAGTACTAAGTCTCAAACATGTGCTAACGAACGCTGTAAGGAGCCTATGCTTCAGACCACTGACACAGACACTGTGGGTAGCCTGTGTCTGCTGATGAAGACAGCCAGACACATCCGGAACGAATCACCACTAGACTCTGGGAGGATGGGCTCCTGTCTTGTCTTACATGCATAAACTGTCAATGGTTAGAACACAGCAAGGGTTTGCTTGGTTCACTTTTTTTGAACAGGGTCTCATTATATGGTCTAGAGTGGCCTTGAATTCATGGTGATCCTCCTGCCTGAGCCTTCTGTGTCCTTGTGTGTGTGTATGAAGGGAGGATTTATGCTTTCCAAGTTCATGTTTTCTTTCACAATGGGGTTGGGGATCCACTGCCTGTGAGATAGGGCTGGGGTTATTTACTTGACCAAGGGCAGCTCCCCAATGTCACACCACTGGGGACCAAGACTCTGCATCTCCTAGCTGAGGTTCTCCCTGCACCACTAACTGCCTACAGCCCTAGAGAGTGTGGCCTCAAGAGACACTCTCACGCATGGTGGAAGAAGTTATTTTTAATTTAAGAAGTGGCATACAAAGGAAACATTTAATCAATGTCGGACTATCAATTCCCAGATAGTTGGCATTTTTTAATGTTTCTCTACATTTTCTTTTCACTTTCCCCATGAGGAAACAGGAGCATTTGTCAGTGTTGAAAGCACAAGATTTTCTTTCTTTATTCACAAACTGCCCTGACAACTTGAGAAAGAAGGAATACCAAAAGAAGTCAGAAGGAAGGCAAACCCGGCAAGGCAGAGCGGCAGCTCACACCTGCTGATCAAGCTCCTCTGAGGCTGGAAGGGAAGGAACACACACACACCGTAATACAGACACCACTCTACACACACAAAATACTACACACGCCACCACAATACACAGATACCACACTCTACACACACACACACACACACACACACACACTACACATGCTACCATACTATACACGACACATAAGTACCACCACACACACGCGCACACACACACTAAAATAAAAACATAAAAGCAGGGAGACTTTCCAGGAAGAAGAGTTTGGCAGTCGAGAGTAAGAGACCATAATGGGAGAATATCAGAGTACATTTTTATCGGTATGAAATTGTGAAAGAATGTATGATCTTGAAAAACATAAAATTCCAAACCCTAAAATTCTGGACAGCCCCACATGACACAGCAAGGCCCTTTTGATTAAAGGTGGGAGTTATAAAATTCATGAGAAAGTAAAATTTGAGTTTCCATCTTAAACCAATCTAAGCCCCAGCTGCATGAAATAGGAGAGAAAGTCCTACGATGCCTATCCCGGCGTGCGGAGAAGGCATGATGACAAGTCACCATGACAAAGCTGGAAAAGCTGGTCGCAGCTGGGACACTTCGCTACCCCTAACCCGGCCATACTTGAACACGAAACCTGTCCTCCACCACAAAACCCTTCGGCTCCACCTAAAAGCCTTAGTGCAAACTCACTCCAGCAGCACCTCCACACCTGGCTTCAGGGCAACCTCACAAATGAAGATGACCCATGGCAAAGGCACATGGACAGAGCCAGACAAAGTCTACTGAAGAAACAAAGTACATAAATGGAAATGGCCATACTAATGCAAAATGTGCAAGTCATTAGAAAGAAAGCTCTGATAACAACAGTTTGGTTTCTACAGTTCAGCCTATATGCAAACAGATAAAACAACTGCAATCCGCTCTTAGAGAACTGGATGATTCCAAATTTGTACAAGAAGAAATACAAGGTAAAACTAAAACATTTCAAGGGGGAGGAAAATAAAATGCTTTAATCCCAGCACTCAGGAGGCAGAGGTAAGCAGGATCTTGGTGAATTCAAAGCCAGCCTGGTTTACAGAGTGAGTTCCATGACAGCCGGGGCTACACAGAGAAACCCTGTTGGAAGGAAGGAGGAAAGGGAAAAGGGAAGGGGAAGGAAAGGAAGGAAATAATAGCTATCAAGAAGACAGACAGAAAAACTCCCAGTAGTCAAATCTGGGACAAGCCAAGAAAGAAAACACAGTATCAGAATAGCGCATGAGGTAGAGAATATAGCAGGAAATGTACAAACCCATTTACACATAAAGACCTGGAATAATGAACGACGGGAAGGGGTGAAGGATGACTTCCTCACAGCAGAATTGCAAATACGCTTAGGAGTGGTGGATCTGGTCATCTCTTGACAACCACCATAGTAACAAGCACTGGAGGCTAAGACATTAGTGGACACTAAAATTGGTACGCTGAAGTATAATGAGAACAGGTACATGTGTGTCTCAAGGTGTCTGCCTGGTGTTATGCATACAATTGACAAAGAGGGAATATTAACTCTGGTGGAGAAAACAGCAGGCACCACCTTAAGGCAGCAGACTAAAGCTACCACCAGCACTGATCAAGCTGCTGCTCAAGTAGAATTAGTCAGGACATCACTTTACAATTGTGACAGCAATGCCACACATAGGGCACAGTGTCAGTTTCGGTATGCAGAAACATACTTGGGTCCTAAGTGAGGAGCATCCCACAGAGAAACTGCATTCTGCAACAGCATCAACACTGGAACACTGAGACTGAGGAGCAGCTGAAGATAAAGCAAACCACAAGACGTGGTACCCACTGAATGCAAACTATGACCCAGTCACTTCAATAATTTAAACTCAAGCAGTGTAAGCATCCACACCCAACTTTAGGGAAAACTGGCTTCCTACAAGTAAGAGAATCGTATCTGCACTCACTCTCAAATGTCTATGTAACAAAGAGCACTTGCACTAATCTATTACCGTCTGAAGAATCTCAGTAAAGGACATGCAGTAATCTCTAGTACTATCACTGAGCCTTTTTCATTAAGTAGGAAATGCTTTGAAAGGAGCATTTGTTTGAAAACTGGTAGTTTTCCCCAGTCAGATACACAGAATTTTGTAAAAGACGGTCAGTATGTACTTCTGGCAGTGGTGGGTGGATACCAGGTCAGGGATGAAATAAAGCAAACATACTCTGGCAGGTTATCTGTCAGATGGAGCATGGTCTGTGATGTAGTGATTCATTTAAGAACTGAGCCTAGACAGTCACTCAGCGGAGACAGCACTGACAAACAGAAACACGATCCTAAACTTGATCCTTGCTAACAAGAAAGAAAAAGGGAAAAACATCACTTCTATAAACACTACACTATCACAATCTATATTATATGTGCATTGATATAAATACAAGGAGAAGGAAATAATGTCATGGGAACTAAGGCATAACTACCAAAAGTTTTCTAATACTAAACATGAGGGTTTTTATTTTTAAAATAATTTAAACAGAAGGAAAGAATCAGAATTCAGGGGTAAAGTAAATCGGTGGAGAGCACGAACCCAACAGAGACAGAAAAGCAAATCCCAAGAGCAGGTCAATGAGACTTCGAGGAAAGGATGGGCCCCGGAATATGGCTGAGAGAAATAGCCTTAAAACTGGGCCCTACAGTGCGGCAGTCACTGGACACAGCAAATGACCCACGGCTCAGGGTGGAGATGAGTGTGAGCTCTCTCCATGCTTTGCTGTAAGGTATACATCACGGTGACAGTGTTTTCTAAACAATGAACTAAGTAAGGCACATCCATGCCACTTCTTCGTCTAGGGCATCTACTAGAAAACAAAGCTTGTATTTCCATGTATCTGATGGACACTGATGCTCTGAATGCTTGACAAATAGGCGATTCGACCACATCAGATCTTCTTTTGATCCATTTGGGGGGGGGGGGTTGTTGCTTTAAGACAGCATCCTGAGGTGTGACTCAGGAAACTAGAATTTGCCTGCCTTAGCCTTGAAGGTGCTGGGATTCCTGGCCATGCCCGGCTTCTCACATGAATCTATTAGGGTCTATCATTTACCTCATAGAGACTACTTTAAAATGAAAGTTTGGTCCTTGTAAGTGACAATCAGTTCTCTAAGACATAAAGTTTTGCCCTCTCAATCAGTGTGTACAGCAGTAACTAAATAACTGTATTTACCTGAACAGTATATACCTGAAGAGTGTGCTTTTCTTTTTCTTTGTGCTTTGAAACAGAATGTATCTGTGTAGTTCCTGGCTGTCCAGGAACTTGCTGTTGACTAGGCTGGCTGAGAACTCAAAGAACCACCTACCTCTGCCTCCTGAGTGCTAGAATTAAAGGTGTGTGCCACCACTGACAAGCAAAGATTTTTATTTTTCTATAGATGAGGCTCTATACAAGTTTAAAGTCATTATTATAAATATAGGGTAAGAAATAAAAAAAGACACTGCCTCCCACCACAAAGGGCTTTTCTTTTGTAAAACAATCATTTAAACACAAAGCCACATATTCAGAAGCAATATCATGAACAGAGAGAGAACTGGAAACAACCCAAATGACAGAATACAATGGAGATCATCTGGCATTCTACAGAATGCGAGTGGCAGCATTGATCAACCTTGGAAACATGCCTTGTGAAAAGTCAATCAGAGCTGGGTGCTTGGCACACCCTCATCAAGTGCACCAGACAGGCAGAGACAGGGTTGGGAGTGTGATGACAGCTGGGCTTCATGAGACCCTATTTCAAAAGGTACAGAGGGAGGGAGAAAGAAGTCAGTCAAAACAGACCACACACTGTTGGACTCCATTTACATAAAAGGTCCCCAATAGTGTGAGTCTACACTAACAGATGGTGGCCCACTTCTTTAATCCCAGCTCTCAGGAGGCAGAAGCAGGTGGATCTGAGTTCTGAGTTCCAGGCCAGCCTGGTCTACAGAGTGAGTTCAGGATAGGCAGGGCTACACAGAGAAACCCTGTCTCAAAAAAGAAAAAGAAAGAAAGAAAGAAAGAAAGAAAGAAAGAAAGAAAGAAAGAAAGAATGAATCTCAATAATGGCCAATAGACACGTTTCTCTTTGGGGAGATGAAAATTTTCTCAAACTGACTGAGGTGACAGTACCACAAAACTACAAGTAAAATTTAAAACTGTAGTTCAAAAGTAAAACAACAACTCGCAAATACGAGGAGCAGTTATGGGTCTTACTGGGAGCACTCGGACGCCTTTCCCTTATTCTGGTAGTCCATTATACACTGAATAAGATGGTTATTTTCATCCAGCATCTGAAAGAAAAGAATGAAAAAGCTTACTGTAAATGTAGTGCATAAAGTAAGATGAAAAACTAAGGAATGTATGACTGTAATACACAGAAGCACCTCAAAGCCATCATTACAGATGCAAATCAACCAAGTGAACATGGAAAACAACAGCCCCTTACACTTACTTTCTGTTAATGTTTCTTTCTACCTACTGCTACAAAACATTGTAGTTCATAGTAATAAGAACTCATGAGATTGAATTAACTTAAAAATTTTCATTACTGTTAAAATGTACAAATCACTTATAAAATATGCTATACATGATTCACATAGATAATTCCACAACACTGATTTTTGTAGTTTAGATTTTTCTAGAAATGTCACATCTACATGGAAAAGGAACCTACTAGAGTGGTCTGTTCATGTACAGATTATAACTTGGGAGACAAAAAAAACCTCTACTTTTGTATATTGGAACTGGTGTCACATTTAATCAATTATGTTTAATACCTACTCCAAGTATTCCTTTTCTTGAAACTCAGAAGGAAAACTTATTATCCCTTCTCACTTATTTAGCATTAGTGAGTATGCCCCCCACACACACACACACAGCTGAGTACCAAGGTGCATGTGAGATCAGAGGACAACTCTGTAGCACTGGTTCTCACCTTGAACCCTACTAAGCCATCCTCCATGTTTTTATTTTTGAATACAGAATCATTTAATTACCCCTATGCTGTCTGTAAATACAGTTTCCACTAGCTAAAGGTTGAGTCCCAATTGGTTTTGGAGCATTCTAATGCTTTGTAGTACAAAAGGAGAAAAAATATCTGTCCTTACCCTGACTGAAATACACACATCAATACTTGAAGTAACAGGCTACCTTCTTTTCCAAATGTATAAATTATGATTCTCTAAAACAATACACAATGTTCTCTATACATTTATTATATTTAATGGAATTTGAGTTTATAATATTATATTAAGGTATCTCAGGAAGTGTAAAAACCATAAGATAAACCAGGTGGTGGCACACGCCTTTAATCCCAGCACTCAGGAGGCAGAGGCAGGCGGATCTCTGTGAGTTCAAGACCAGCCTGGTCTATAGAGCGAGATCCAGGGCAGAGCTATTACACAGAGAAACCCTGTCTCAAAAAACAAAAACCCCTAACATAAATTAATCATCATTTTATCATCTGATAACAATCTAAGCAACCTTAGCTCTGAGAGTTAAATAATTCATTTCTGCCAATGATACTTAACAAATAGACCTATAGAAGATTGTTTTAGTGCCAGCATGCTGTCCCTAACAAGTCACCTAAGTTTGTAGGAGCTTTAAGATCAGGGTACTGCTGATCCTGAACCCACCTTTCATGATTCCGTGAATAACCAGGTGACAACACCAAAACCACCATCTCAATCATTTAATGAGATTTTTCAATTAAAAACATTAACTGAGATTTCCTGAGCATTTATCATAACCTTCCATTACTAAGGACAAACACTTCTCATACCAAGGATATTTTGTTCCATTTTTTGTTTGGTTTTTTTGTTTATTTTTGGGTTTTTTGTTTGTTTGTTTGTCTTTTCAGACATGGTTTCTGTGTAGCCCTGGTTGTCCTGGAACGCACTCTGTAGTCCAGGCTGGCCTCCAGTAGGGAGTTCCATCTCTGCCTCCTGAGTGCCATCAGTTCAATACTCAAACCAAGGAAAGCATGACACATTAAACGACCCCAACCATTTGTCTGTCTCCCATCTAATCATGTCTGACACTGCAAACAAAACTTTAGCTGGAATACACTTTTGAGGAACTGGAGAGATAACCCAGAGAGCACTTAATGCTCTTGCTGAGGGCCTGGGTCTGGTTCCCAGCACCCACAATGCAACTCACAACTGGCTGTTAACTCCGGTTCCAAAAAATGTGATGCACATGACATACACACACATACATATAAAATATAAAGTTTTAATCCATTTTTCACTTCTCATATGAGAATGAAAACTAACCAGTTAGCACCTTGTAGATCACTCAAGATAAATAATAAGACACACTAGAAAAAAACTACCGAGAAAAAGGAAACGACAGACTTTTTCTAGAGTTCAAAGCGAAAGCGCGGATCCCTCCAGAAACATGCTTCCTGCACGTGTGTAAGGAGGCTGTTCACCAGACTACCACTAGAGAAAGCAACTGCGTTTCCAGGCACTGCCAGGCGGGTTTCTTCAAAGAAAATAAAGCAACAGTTGGGCAAATGTCAAATGCCACACTACAAAGACCCTGACAGTAAACAGAACCCGTTGGCCATTAACGCACGGGTCTGCAAGGGTGTCCGGATTGGTACAACAAATTGACTTTCTCTCCTCAACCTTGCTCCAGGGCAGGGGACAAGATGGGACTACTCCAGGCAAACTGTTCAACTTAACAAGCGACTTTTCAAAGTCCCCCACGCTGAGATGGAGAACAGTGCCTTGCTCTTAGACACAGGCTCAGAGGATAATAAAGAACCTTTGTGTCCCCAGTTGGCAGTCCCAGAGCGGCGACTGGGGTGGCACTCTCCTCTGAGGACGCAGCTCCCAGCGCTTCTACCCTGATTCAATACAAATGGCCCGCCCGTCGGTGTAGACCGCCAACTCCGGGCGGCGGGGAGCAGGCTCGCCCTCCGGAACCCCAGCGTCTGCCCTGGGCGCTCAGACGCATCAATCAGGGGCGGAGGGGGACGGATCGCGGGCGCTGCTCTGCGAACCCCCGGTGCGCACTGGCTCCTTCCCCGCCAGCCCGGAGCCCCTGCGGAAGGTCCCCAAGTTCTCCCCCCGGGAGGGCCTCAACTCCGAGGAGTTTGCGGCGCGACACTCCAGGCTCCGGCTTCCGCGAGAGGGGTCCCGGCGGGGCGGGGCGGGGCGGGGCGGGAGTCCGGCCGGCCGCTCCCCTCCCGGGCCCGCGCCGCCCTGCCGAGCGCACGCACGCCCCCACGGGGAAATCGGGCGGCGGTTGCCGGCGCTTTTGTGCCGGCAGAGCAGGCGCCAAAGGGCTCCGCCGGCTCCCCGGCGCCCGCCCCCACCGCCGCCGCCGCCGGGCCGCTCCCCCGCCCCACGCTACGCCACCCCGCCTCGGCCCGCGCTCGGGCGCCTCTCCGAGCTCACCTTCTGGATGGCGGCGGGCGTGATCTCCCCCTTGCCCCGCTGCCTCGGGGCTGCGAACGCCACAGACATGTTGCCACCGAGCCCGCGATCGGCGAGTCCGGAGCGCTCCGGGGGCCGCGGAGCTGGGGGCCCGACGCCCGCCTCCCGGCCAGGTCCACCTCACCGCGCGCGGTGGGGGAGGCAGCTCCGGGCCCGCGCCCATCGCCGACCCAGCCGGGCTATGCGCGGAGCTGCCGCTCCCGGCAAGGCGTCTGCACAGCTCCTCGCGGCCAGCGCGGCTCGAGCCCCGCGCCCCGCCGCCGCCCGCCCGGCTGTCTGTCCCCGCGCGCTGCCGGCCGCACCCCCGCGTCCGCGCGCCGATGGTAGCGCCGCGCCGGCCGCCTCCGCCCGGACGCTCAGGAAATGGTCCCGCCGCGGCGGAGGGGAGCCGCCCGGCCGCGCTGTCACAGGAAACGCGGGGCCCGCCCGCCAAACTGTCCCCAACTGTGCCCGCGACCCTCTGGGGAAGAGCGGCCGCCCCGGATCGCCCGGGCCGCCGCCGAGAGGGACGGGGGACAGCCTGGACTCGGCAGACGCTGCAGGGTCAGCACCGAGAACGCGGATTCGCTGGTTTAAATGGCTCCCTGCGCTGCACGTGCGCACCTCGGAGTCGCTCGCACGCTCGCCAAGTCTCGCCGGCCGCGGAAGAGTTGAAAGGAACCCGACCCGCAGCTTACCTAGGGATAGTCCCTTCCCACACTTGTGGATCCACTTGATGTGACTTAGGGCCCTTCAAAGGGAGCTGTGAAAAGGCACCCTCTTTTCCAGTTAAATACTTAGTGCTTGTTAATTAGGCCCAAGCTGCCAGGCTTCAAGTCAGTATGAGGGGAATAAAACCAACAGCTGCAAATTAATAAAGGAACGCGTTGCTGGGGATTAATTCTGCAAACTTAGACTTCCCAGCCATACAAAAGGAAGGTTAATATGCTGTGTTACTCATCTGTGGTGCTCCAAAAAATAGTGCCTAGATTGTTAATGAAGTGGAAAACCGCGTTTTTAAAATGTTATTTCAAATAAATTTCACAGGTCAGTTTACTTAATTCAGCGCTGTTTGGAAGTGGTGGTGGTAGAAATGAACACCTGGACAGGAATCTCTCAAGGATATTATGCTGTTATAGAAAAGACAACAAAAACAAATATGCATATGTGTAAAGTTTAACAGCAAACAAGGACTACAGGGCTGTTCCTGTGACTTAAATGGATGAATATTAGGCTTTCAGAATGGTCCAGCAGCTAAAAGGTGCTTGTGCCCTGGCCTGAGTACAAACTGGGACCAACACCATAGAAGGAGAAAAGCAACTCTGCCAAGTTTTATTCTGACCTTCATGTGTGTTCCCCACACACATCCCGTGCGTGTAAAACATTACACACACACAAAGGATGAAGACTTAAGAATAAAGGATGGAACTTTATCCCTCCCAAATGATGGCAACTATTCTTGAGAACTGACTTGTTGCCTTTCCCTATGCTAAGGAGAGCAGTGTAATACAAGTGGATTCAAGTAATCACACGGAACTGAGAATACTATCAAAGGCTGAACAGTAACCACTGCTAACACGGTGTATCCAATGCTCGTTGTGGATGGTCATGACTGATTTACCAGTAATAGCTGAGTAATTAGGGACAGTGTTTCAGAGGGAAACATGAATCTGGAAGAGTTACCCCAGTTGTATCCACTTGACAATGTGGGAATCCTACAGGCCACAAACACTTGTCTGAATTTCTACATTCCAGTCCCTAAAAAGAAAAACAAATCCATCTAAAAAGTTGCCGCATTCCAGGGAAGACTTATAGATTCTTTAAAGCACAGCTTACCAGTGGAAGGGGCTCTACAGACCATGGGTTATAAGCTTTCTAGAGTTTGGAGCAGTGGGATAAGATCCCATGCAGGAAACAACCATAGTGTTTTCTGTGTTTGGTTAGCACTAATGTATTTTATATGTCCCTTTGCATTACATCTGTTGGAAAGCATTGGTAGAAAGGGTAATGCAAAAATGCAAATGATCTCCATGAAAGAAGGCACCTACAAAGGATGCTAGTTCAAACTTCCTTGGTAAAGACCCAGTTAGCCTTCCCTGGAAAAGTAGAGAATTCAGAGAGAGGGGGAGACAGAGGCCTGGATAGGGCCTGACCTAGAGGATACTAGTGTTGCAAACACCATTATTGTTAGCATTACTGCTGGGGCAGTGCCTGGCAGAGCAGGGAGTAGAGACTGGAATCGCCCAAGTCTGGTCTGCCTAAACAAGACAATTGGCTTTGAGGACTTGAAGCAAATGATCTCAAGGAGCCACCTTCCCAAACAGATACATCAGCTCATGCATTAAAGAACCCAGGTCGTATAACTGAGCATCCGAGGTTTGCGGTATAATATTAACACATCAAGAATGGGTCAAAGTGAGGAAGCTATCAGCACCAACAATTAATTCATGATTATTCACACAAACAAACGTAAACAGAATCATAGAGCCAGTACTGACACGGTGCTCATGGGAAACTTTATGTTTGACTTTCAAATGTTTCACTTTTTAATTTTTCATGCTAATTGTTTGTGTCCTTTCAATATATTTCAGCAAACTGAATAAATGAAGTATTCCTTGATAAAGGTGACAATGGTGTGACCGGGACCATATATGATACCACTGGCAGTGGGTACAAGATCTAACTCTAATGCACAAACTGACTTGGTGGAGCCCATTCTGTATGGAGAGATACCTTGCCCAGCTCAGACATAGGGATGTGGGGGTGGAGAGGTGCCTTGGTCCTGCCTCAACAAGATGATGGAACAGACTTAGTAAACTTCCTAGGGGAGGCCTTACCCTCTCCACGGAGCAGATGGAGGAGGGGGCAATAGGGTTGCAGGAGGAGAGGAGGGAGGGGGAACTACATACACACACAATAATAAAATTAAATAAAAAATCCAATGATAAAACCACTGCAGTAGATAGAAAAATTAGTATTTTTTATATCATAAATAAAATAGAGTATCATTTGTAAAGATACCTACTGCAATTAGTAATTCATAAACCTTTTGGTGTTTTTTGAAAAGTTTCTGCACTTACCACTCTATTTGATTGTTGTGTTTTAAGATTATTTATATTTTATGAGTATAGATGTTTTGCCTGCTCGTATGTCTATGCACTACATGCATGTCTAGTGCTCTCAGAGAGAATATAGCATTGGATCCCTGGGAACTGGGGGAACAGATACCTGGGAGCCACCCCTTGGATGTTGGAATCATGTCTAGTACTCAAGAAGAGCAGTGTATGCTCTTAACTGCTAAGTCATCTTTCCAGTCCCCATTTTTGTTTTTTGAGACAGGGTCTCACACAGGTAACTCTCTGTGTACCTGAGGATGGCCTTGAACTCCTGACCCTGCTTTCTTTGTCTCCTAAGTCCTTAGATTACAGACATGCACAAGCGCATCCAGTTTATACTTTGTACTCTTGACAGAGTTGTTTGCCTCCAAGACCTTTTGCTTAAGTGGGGTATAGCTCTCAATAGCTACCTCATAAAATACTGAAACCCAAAAACAGTCCATTCGATGTGATATCCCCAGACGTCTTGTACCTCTAGAACATTTACTTTGTACTCATAAAACAAAATGAATTTTTGAAAACAGTAAAAAAATAGAGCCATAGTAGCATCATCACAAAAATGCTTTTAAGATATGTTTTATTGTTTTCAATTGAATATGCATGTGTATCTGTGTATATGTGTGCATCTGAATAGGTGTGAGTGTATGCATGCATGTATATTAGTGTGTGTTTGTGTGTGTGTGTGTGTACTTTGGTGAAAGATTTGTTGATTTAAGGCATTTCTAAAAGGTCTCCCATGCATTAGCTGGCAATTAAGTCATCCAAGCAGAGGATCAAACAGCCTCTAAGAAAGTAACAAAGAGTGACAATCGTGTGGAGGGGGGAAAACCAGGTGTCCACAGTTATCAATGAAGTAATTTAAAGTGTACATGTATTAACAGAGACTTTTGGACAGGAAAGCATAGCCCATAATCAATGAGGGAAGCTGACTGACAAATGGTCCCTAAAAGTCCAGATAATGTCACTCATTTACCATTCAAAGGCCTCAGATCACCCTTTGTTGGTATATCCAATCAACTAAAGAAATAAAGCTTCGGCATTTAGAGGAAAGCCAGACATAGTGACACATACCTGTAATCCCAATACTTGTGAGCTGAGGCCAGAGAATCATGAATTCCAGGCCAGTCTGAGCTAAACTGTAAGGCCACACATAAAACAAAAGAAGAAAACATGGGTAGGGGGGGGGGGTGAATGACATAATAAAAAGCATATGAACATGAGATTAGAAGCACACAAAAGGTAAACTATGAAAAGGAAATTCCATAAAAGGAGCTTAAGAAGACTGAGGTATCTGAAGGAGGACTTAGCAAACTGAACATGTGTCAGTGAAGTTATACGGTGTACAAACAGGAAAGAAAAAGATGAGGGAAACAAATCACATTCACTGCCTCCAAAACCTGTGTCACAGCTGTAGGAATACCAGTACAGGACAGTCAGATATCCATAAACCCCTGAGTATAATAAAGTTAAATCTGTGTGTCCAAGAAACCCCACTCAGTTAAGCATGATAAGTCAATCATCCCTGAACTCACCAGAGTGGATCATTGAGAAGGCAGAATGCTGAAAGCAAGACAACACAGCTGATTCTGACAAATAGCCTAGTGAGATTAATAGCTGACGTCCACAGGAAGCTATAAAAACAGGAGAGGCATGACAAGCAAAGCCACCGTGCCAACAGATCCAGGTATTCAGTTTATGGCAACCGATACCTCAAAACAGCAAAACAGCAACTGCAAAATGTTAACTCTCAGAAGCCTCCTATCCTGTTTCTGGCAGCTTGCTTGTATGGGCAGGAACAGGGCTCAGAAACATGTTAGTTACCTAGGCATGTTGCTTTAACTGCATGAAAGGGAATCATGTGAACGTCTTCCTTGAATTTGAATCAGCTGTCTTTGCACATTTATCTTGCTCTAGCAGAAGAGTTACAACCTGCTTTCTTCAGGCGAGGGCCCATTTAACGTATTTTGCACCACGACACTGTTGTCAGAGTAATGTGATCATCACACTTAGGGTTTGTGTTATGCACAAACCCTG